TATTCTATTCTATTCTATTCTATTCTATTCTATTCTATTCTATTCTATTCTATTCTGTCAAATGCTTATGATCAATTCTCACTTCTTAAGCAAAAATTATTTGACATATTTAAGTAAGTAAATAACCTCTTTATGGTTAAACAGTATGGTTAACATCGATTGTCAAATACTCAATTTACAATGCTGATCATAAAGAACATGATGTACATGAATGAAGCACATTGGTTTTTTTCTTTTAATGAAAGATAATTGAGTAAGAAAACTGCCCATACTGTTTTTAAAGGATTTGCATGATCAAGCAATTTCTGTCTTGCTCTTAAATATTTGCATATTACTGAAATCTCAGTATAATAATTTTCAGAGTATGTGTGGATCCTTTTAAACATGAATTGTGATTTCAGGAAATAAAATCAATGCATTATCAGAAATAAAACCATCTAATGTTTTCCTAATGATTTGGGATTTTCTCTTATAGGTTTTAAGTGCTATCAGCACTTCTGGAAATGTAGATTTAAGAAATGAATTCATTTCAGTTGAATATTGTTACTATTAAAAGAAAAGCTGCTACAAAAAGCTAGTCAATCATGTTATTGTTTCATCTTCCCCAAATTATATCTAATTGTTAGTATGTATAGCCTTCATCAATTGTGTCTTCAATCTCAGTTCCATTAATACAGGGGTGTCAAACTCGTGTCATCACGTGACATATCGTGACTTTTTTCCCCTTCGCTAAACTGGGTATGGGCGTAGCCAAAGCATGACACATCCGGCCCACAGGCCACAAGTTTGACAGCCCTGCATTAATATGTCAATGTGGGTATATGGGATGGGATATACTTTATTCAAAAGTTCAGATGACCAAACTACCAAATAAATTATAGTTTGCAATTTTTAACAAATTATATAAGGACATAAAAAGCTAACTTATTATGAACAGTCCCTTCACTTATTTTGTACATATCTATTAAATGTAACATCAAAACTTAATATAGCACTAACACATAATTGAGAAAAATGTAGCCATACCTTGTGCTCCTGAAACAATACACTTAATGCTAAGTCGTACCAAGGACTCCATTCAGATGTAATATCCAGAAACATGCAGATACCAGATGTGCAGAAATTCTCATGCCCCGCCCTCCTTTCTATCTAGAGACTAATTCTCTGCTTTCACCAAAATGAATGGGAATGCCTAGGTATATAACAGTGCTCCAGTGTGCTTTTTAACTAACTAGCCCAAAACAGATGAATTAAATAAAACTATATTCTACAGTTCTGATTTAACTACAATTTTAGAGTGGCTAAAGGTGTATGCATCATGATTTTATACAACATTTACCTTTAAGTTAGCCTTTGTATTCTTTATACATAATTTTACAATACTTTATAAAAGTATTATTTATTCAGAGAATTAATAGGGAGAATCTCAACATATTTTATTTACTTAGTTTAGTAATAAGTAATCACATCCTTGTGATGTTAATATTTTTTTCCTTTCTCCTTTACAAAACATGAATCTGTTTTATATAAACACAGCTATCCTTTATATACTTTTAATATATAAATATCACATGGGGAGTTTAAAAGCAAGAAAAGCAAAAAAAAAAAAACACATACACCCAAAAAACTGAGTAAAAAGTATAAAAGCAGATAAAAGGAATTATCATGTAAATAAAATGTACATTTGCCTGCAGCTGAACTTTCATAAGTAATCCCAAATAGAACACATCACACTAATCCAGTGTAGCTCAACATATGTACAGTATCACAGCCAATCTGATAAAGAATACAGATGGTAGAACAACTAGTTGAGCTGGGTAAAAGCTTGCAAACAAATCTATTTTAATGAACAAGTAAACTCTGTAGAAATCTGCTTTAGAGCAATGCTGCTGGAACTCCACATGCTTATATTAAAATAACAAATGTTTCACCTGATAGTCAAACTGGTTCACTGGCCCCATTGCAAAGTTATCAGGTGGTGGTCCCCCAAAGTTGTGATTATTTTGATTAAATATATGCCTGCTGTCAGGGGCAAATTCCCCACTGTCCTGACTGTTACTGTCTTCAGATGGAGGAACAATATCCATTGATCCAGGGGCTGGAGGAATCCATGGCTGATCTGGAGGCGGATGAGGCGGCTGGTGGGGCATGTTCCATTCTGTTTTGATGTCGTAACAAAAAAGTTAATCATTTTAATCAGGTTGTATTGATTTTTAAAATGAAGGATGTATCATTAAACATTTCTGGTTTCTATTTTTGTATGAATCCAAACTATTTTTAGTAGTTCTTTGTATGAATAGTATTTAAGCAAATCACATCTATTACAGGGAAAGTCTATATTATATCAGCTAATTTTTCCCCTCAATCTGGCCTTTCAGATCTGAAATGCAATTTTAAGGATCTCCATCATCGAAGAAAATATTGATGTCAAATAAAATGGATGGGAGCTACACAAGCTATGTAATAATACATTTATTAATGTTTAAGTTATACAAAATTCTTGTTTCTGATGGCTAAACTAATACAATATCCCTCTGGAAAATAATTACTTATGTCAGCATCTCCAGCTATTGTGGTTTATCACTTTCAGCATCCCCAGTGCATGTAACCAATGACAATTCTGGATATGGCTGACAAAGTAGTTCAATGAATCTAGAAAGCACTTGCTAAGGATCAACTCTAGTTGAAAAAAGAGGCCAAAAGGAATGTCATTTTTTATAGGAACTGGTTATCTTACACAGCAGAAATTGATGACTTTATGGTAGTACTCCATGTTTCTGAAGTCCAATTCACAAGAGTCCTAGCAAGTATAGTGAAATAATAATGGATATCAGAAATTGAAGTTCAATCGTGCTTGTGAAGCCACAATTTTTTCATCTATGTTACAGAATATGGACATATTTAAAATTTTACAGTAGTAAGACCAGTTGCAACAACATCACAATATTTAAAATAAATATTTTGTCTTCTTCCAGTGGATACTTTGAAAAACATGTTCTATAAGTTTGTAGTATAATTAACCTCAAAATGGCAAAAAGTCAAGAGGAACTGTGTTGAATGCTAAGATGTCAATGCAGGCATAAACAGCCCAAAGCGAACAAGCCCAGTTTTTGCAACTTTCTTTAAAAGGATGCAGGTTATTTGTATAAGATAAATCATAAACATGACAATGTGCAACTTGTCTAAAACAAGGAGAACTATGGCTGATCCAGTGAAAAACTTCCTCACATCTGTGTCCAACATAAATTGATATTATGCTCAATTGAAAGTGAACTACTCAAAAAGTGAACTATTATTTCAAAAATACTTGCCAGGGCTCCGGCAGTTACCCCCATTTAAATCGTGAGTCTCGAGTCAAACTTCCAAAACTTAAAAAGGATTTATTGTGAGTTAACATGCCAGCACTGCCTGGGTGTATTGTAATTCATATGCTCCGGTGGGATACATCCATAGCCAAGAGTCATCAATCATGCTCTCCTTAGAATGTTGCGGCAGAAACATCAATCACCTAGTTATTATCTTTGAAAACATTTATGGAATGAAGTTTTGGTTTTGCAAGCTGCTACGCTGCTCCCCCCCCAACTTTCTGTTGGCAACTCTAAAGAGACCATAGAAATATTTTATGAGTTGACAATACTATTATCTCAAAATGTATTTTAAAAAATTGATTCAATTGCTTATCGCAACCTTTTTACAGTACGTATATTCCTTTATCAAGGGTAAGTTCTGCTATAAATTTCTGTTAAATTAAAAAACCTATGAATATTCTTTACTTTCACTCAGAGAGGTAATTTTTTTTTGTTTTTTTACTCAAGCAGCAGAAATTGTATCAATGAAAGCTATTCTAAAATGCTTTTGGGAGCAAGCACTGAACCGAATAAAATTGTTGGGGAACTATGGATATAATTTGGTCCTGTTGGTTTATTGCCAGTTCTTTTCAATTTTTATGCCTGTCTATACAACTTTGAATTTATTTAACCTTTCTAATTAACGTACTTAATGTTACAAAGCTTGATTTTCAAAGCATCTAGATTATTTTCCGATCACAATCTTAAGTGATATATGAAGTCTGAGGCAGAGAAATCCAGAAAATATCATATATCGCTACAAGCAACAGTTACTTGGGAGAATCAATACTTCTTGTCTTTCCCATAAAAGAAATTTTTGTCCTAACTCAATCCTGCCCAGTATTGATGAATTTTGCAAACTAAATCAGATTTAATTTCTTGCTCTTGTAAGAACTGTACCCACAACTAGGAAGATTCCAAATGCAGTGGGGGGAAAGGATCAACTACATACCTGGTTGCCACATCCTGTTGAAATTTGGATCATTCTGAAAATTACCATGGTTGTTTGGACCAGGTTCCATTCCTGTCATCTCCTGGCCATTTGGCATCATTCCTTGCTGTTCTACCACACTCTGTTGCCCCGACGCTTCCCGCTGAGCAATCCATGCCTGAGCTAATGCAGCCCAGTCAATTTGGCCTAGAAACAGAATTAGATTTTCGATATATAGATTTCCACAGCACAACCAAGAATTGAATTTTATTCATACTCCATTAATAAAATCTGCATCATTTATGACTATATTTTGGAGGCCTCTAACATTGATACAATACCCCATACAGCAATTCTCCACTGACCTAATGAGAAATGTGAGCTTTCCTGGATTAAGAACTTATTACTGAAAAAATATTAAAAGCTTTGCATCTCAATCCTGAACATGGATCAGTTTCAGTGTGTTTTAAAAATTTAAGCACCTATATGAACATTCATGTATAAACTGATTTGCCATGGGAGTGAATTAATGAGAGATCAAGAAAGAGAGATCACTGACACAGATGAGCCTTTTCTTCTTACTCTTCTACAAAACACTACTTCTGAAAGAAATAATTGTAATACTCAGGCAAACAGAGTATTGGCTTGTTGCAACAATGTAACAATTAACAGAACTGGAACACTGGCCTCAAGTTAGTACATCCAGATCTGCCCGATACCATGAATATATATAGACTATTCTTTTCTACTTTGTTTTATAAAAGAATAAAAAGCCATTAACAACATAACAGAAACATGGCATAGGCATATAAAGGAAAAGGCATGAATGTAGCTGGTTTGGATAAATAAATCACATTTTAAAGAAAAGGTAGAAATCCCATCCCTTGCAGTGGATGGGGCCAACATTTCTTAAGGGTATGGGGATTTTAAATAGCAAAATGGGTGACTCAAGCTTCTCAAGGTATAAGATTGCTCCTTTTTGCCCCTTTACCCTATCACCTATAAATAAAAGGGCAAAAAAGAGGAACCCCCCAATTCCAGAGGTGAGTCATAACATTATTGAATATATTCAAGTCTCAGAAATCAATTTTTTTAAAAAAAACATCAGTAAAGCTCCTACCACAAGAAAGTTACACACCTCATCTTAAAGGAAGAGCTCGTTAAGTTTTTACCATCAAACCTCTCTCTTAATGTAATCTTAACATACACACCTTCACTAAAAATCCAAACACCTAACTGAACATAATGAACTATGAAAACATTACAATGAAACTTTAAGGAAGGTGGGTTTATTCTAACAGTATAATGAAAAGGTGCTTCATACCTCTTCTGGGTTCAGTCACCTCGCTTTGTGAACAATTCTGTCTTAAAGGGTAAGAATCAAAGAGCAAGAAACTCTTTTAACCAGCTTCTCCCTGTATTATTTTGCATATTACTGCTGAAGGAGAAGCATGCATTCAAGCAAAATACTGAACAATTTAAAATTTGTTTGAGGACTGCACTATAAAATGAAGAATACCCCAAATTTAAAACAAATTTTAAATCGTTCGGTATTTTGCCAAATGCGTGCTTCTCCTTCAACAGTAATATGCAAAATATTAGCAAGTTGGGAAATGCTCGTTGGAAGATGTTGTTTAAGAATGTAAATTAAGGCATACTGGGATAGGGAACAAATCATTAGCTCAGCACATATTGCTGTTTACCAGCATTTTCTCTTATTCACTTAAGAGTCTAAAGGAGTATTTACAAGCAATATAGAAGCAACTTGTAACAACTTTCAAAAGATTGTAAACACTAAAGAACAGTTTGTTGGGCTTTGAACTAACAGGTTTCTTTTTTTGTGAACTCATCTTTTGTAGCAATCTTTTCTGTGAATGAAATAGTAATATTCTAACCCAGTTTATAAAATGTGGATTAATATCTTAACTTTAATGCTGAAGGCACTGCTATTTACTTACTTGGATCTTGCTGATGCTGAAATGACTGCATCCATTGTTGCTGATTCAAAGGCCACTGTTGCCAAGGCTGCCCACCTTGATCCCACATCTTTAATTATTTATATGTTCTCTGCTGGAGTAAAAATAACATTTCAAATTTGAGTACAAGCTTCACTTTAAGCCTTCACTTTAAACTGTGTACAGTGATATCCAACCTTTTCCAAACTACCCATTCAAAGCTATCCAAACCTTGTTCCAAAAGATTTTTTGTGATATTCTTATAATCAAAACATTCCACGGAAACTATATAGGGTTTCCCTGAAATTTGCAACATCAAATAAAAAAAATTGAATGTAAGTATTTTCCATTCTGATTACAAAAAATTGTCTATCAAATGTAAAGTGCTACAAGATCTGCTATCCTGGGTTGACCTTCAGAATTTAAAAGCCACAAAATTTAGTTTCCAATTATTTTGATTTTCTGCTATATTTTTAAACAGTCATCATTCATACAAAAATCTTTGGAAAACAGGGGTAAATGAAATAAATGGGGGAAAAAGCCTTATTTACTGGTGCTAAGAATTTCAACTATACTTTTCTTTGAGTCACACCATTTAGCTTAATGGCCTTATAAATCATAAAAACAAATCTGATAACCACAAAGCAGATAATCACTGTTAGAAAATTATGTTCTCCTCTCTTCACATGGTTCCTATGCAGATTACACAACTCTGAACAATGCTACATCACATTATATACAGTATAAAAGTTTAATTTTCAATCCCTTTGCACCATTAAATACTGCATTCAGACTATATGAAATGCAATGCTTTATTTTGTATACAGATTTTTCTAGCAAACAGGCATAAATCTGCAAAGTTATCCTAATCATAATCTTTCTTACAAATTTTATTATTGTTGTTATTTTTAATAATGATGATAGATTTAAGCGCCCTGTGGGCCGGATTCGGCCCACAGGCCTTCAGTTAGACATCCCTGCCTTAGTTGATGCTATTGTCATTTATGACATTTGTCTTAGCCACTGGTTCAACATATCATAATGTTTCTTTACAAAAAAATAACAATAAAGTTAATATAAAATGCCTTCAGTTTACTGAACATTGGATGGAAGTATGGTAAATAAAATTTATAAGCTCAAAAACTTCTTAAGTACCGCATACATATTTTCCTAACGTAGTATAATCAGGAAACTTCAAAAATAATGACAGATTCATGCAAAAGCATCAATGAATCTAAAACAAATACAGGTAATCCTCGAATCACAACAGTTCATTTAGTGATCGTCTGAAGTTACAAGAGCTGTGAAAAAAGTGACATGACCATTTTTTATGCTTACACCCATCACACACACAGCATCACCATGGCCATGTGATCACAATTTGAAGTCTTGGCAATTGGTGCATATTTATGACAGTTGCAGGATCCCGTCGTCAACTTGGATATGATCATCTTTTGCAACCTTCTGACCAGCAAAGTCAATGGGGAGGCCAGATTCACATAACAACTGTGTTACTAACTTTACAACTGTAGTGATTTACTTAACAACTGTGGCAAGAATGGTCATAAAATGGGGCAAAATTCACTCATTTAGCAACAGAAATTTTGGGCTCAAATGTGGTAAGTTGAGGACTACCTGTATTTCTGATTTAGTTTAGAAATTGAAAGTTAAAAAATAGTCCCCTCCACCAGAAATTAGCATCTCTCTGTATTCCTATTAAGCATTATTTTAAGAACATATTCTGAGAAGTATACAGTCTGAAATATGATATGAAAATGGCATTACATTACAAAGGTGTATGACTTGGATATCTGCAATAATACATCTAATTATGCTGCTTTTGTTTACAACACCAACACTTCTGAAAGTAAGTTGATCAGGGTTATTTATTCCACTAAAATGACAAATCTCTGTTAGTCACCTGGAGCCCACAAGGAAAAAGCAGGGGGACCTAATCTAGAGAGACAACCAAACCAATGGTTGCTTTTCTCATCAGAGCTGCTTTCGTTACCTTTGGTATAACCAAAGTGAGGTTATCACTCTTTTTCAGTAGCTGTGGGTTGGAAGTGGGTTGAAATGGCACAACTCCGTGAACTGGGGCAGACAGAATCCCACTCTACATTTTGAAACCAAAATCCAGACCCACAGCAGTTCTATTGTTTCATATCGATGCCCCATTACATTCAGCAAACTACTTCCAATAAACCTGATCTTTCTGCACAGTCCAGAAACATTAACACAAAGATAACAGCTCTTTTTATTGGACGCCAGGCACCCCTCTATCCAGAATTTCAAGTACTATTTTAATCATTTGTGGGCAAGGGCATCCTATTAAAACTGGAAACAGCCTCCTTCTGAATTAACACCCACAGGGTTAGACTAACCACACCATACAAATTCTTTTCTTTCCCATTGCGAGAGTAATACAAGGCACGCACACACACACACATCCCTTTCCCCCATCTCCTAGCTTTCAGCAATATCGTACAAGGTCGGCCCAGCATGTTTACAACATAATGTGAGCGGGCGCCTGGCTCTTGGCCTTCTCACGTGGCAACCATAGCAACAGAACTAAGCTGTCGCCCCAAGTGTCAATCCAGGCTATTTATCCCGTTGAGATTAGGGGGCCTCAACGCAGGCGCACACAAGCCTCGTCATGAGCCCAACCTCAGCCCACCGCCGCCTGGATAGTCCAGCAAGAGCAAGATCAGGGCGCATGCGCACAACGGGGTCGAGTTTTTTTCCTTTCCCCCCTATCCCCGCCCCCCCCCCCCCCCGTTAGAGTACCGCGAATGTGCCTGCTAGGAAACGATCCGCCATCCAGGAGAAGCGAAGTAGACTAGCGCCCCGCCCCGGGTTCTTAATCCGAACCCAGAGCACCAGCCTTGCATTTTCTTCCCCACCCTCTTTGCCTCGCCGCAGCGAGCTCCGCCTGGTCGGAATTCAGCACCGAACCCAAATGATGGTGGAAGGATAATCAACTGTCCAGCCGGCTTCCGCCTGTTCTCAAACGCGGCCGCTACGCAGGCAGTTACTTACCCCGCCCGCGCCTTTTGCGCTGACCGGTAACACTCGCAGCACTTCGGCTGCCCCCGTCACTCCGGTTAGCTTTGCGTTAACCACACAAAATGGCGCCCGCTGTCACTCACCCGGAACAGCAGGCTTACGTCACTGCAACCCGGCGGAGAAAAGTCTATCGGCCATCTTAAGTTAGGGCGGAGGCGTTTGACCGACAGACGTCTGGAGGGGGTTCCAACTGCCCCACTAAGGTTGGCAGCAGCTGATGGGAGTGATAATACAAACGTCTGGGAAACTTACTCAGTCATGGCTCTAGAATCTCCGAGGGTTAGAAAGAAGAGTCTTTTTCAATTGACAGTTTTATGGTAGGAATTGTTTTGTTTGCCAACAAGCGAAAGTTTCGCGCAAGCGCCTGGCTGAAAGTGTTCTGTGCGCGCCATTATTATCGAGGACGTGGAGCCGCTTATTGACGTATGCGTAATGCTTCAGTGGTTTAGCCAGTACCTTCGAAATTTCGCTTGCTTGTTTGATTCCGATCTGGACTACAGTCTTCCGCGCTTTTAAAAAGAGTTAAATACCGGCTGCAAGAATCTGCACATCCGTTATATAGCAGCAGAGAGACACGTTTTTGTTGCCATCGTCTGGTCGTCCGAATTTTAGCACATTTCCTGGATGCCACTAGGTGATGCTGTTTCATGGAATGGACCCAGAGCATGCCCCTCTGCCAGGACGAAGAGAAATAATTGGAGAAAAGTTGTCCTGCAATAATTTGGCATTGTACTACAAGCAGCTTTTTAAACGGCAACCAGCACTTTGAATTACATATGGAAGCTTATAAGCTACTAGTCAGAGGTGGTATTCAGCAGGTTCTGACCAGTTCTGGAGAACCGGTAGCGGAAATTTTGAGTAGTTCATAGAACCAGCAAATACTATCTCTGTCTGGAGATTTTACAGTATCCTTCCCCTGCCATGCCCACCAAGCCACACCCCAGAACCGGTAGTAAAAAATTTTGACTCCCACCACTGCTACTAGTAAAGTGCTGCTACATGGGTGCACCAGAGTGCTTTCATAACTACTGACTACTGTATTTCAGATCAATTGCAGCTTCTACATGGTATTTCAAGGTTAATCTAATATACAGTATAATCCTGCCAGGGGGTTACTAGGCAATGCAGATGGATGACTTCACCTGGAGAGTTTGTGTAGGTATTCAATAGTTCAGAAAGTTCAGAAAGTGTAGGGGCCTGAGAAACCCCACAGAATAGATGCTTGGAGCACATTTTCTCCTTTATCTACCAGCACTAACTGGAAATGTCCTGGAAGAAAGGAAAACCACTACAACACCATGCCTCCCATTCCTAATCTGTAGTACTAGTCCAGAGGTGTATAGTGATTGATTGTATCAAAGATGGATGAGAAATCAAGGAAGGCCAGGATGGATTGTACCACCTCATCCCAATCCTACCACAGGCCTTCTATAACTACAATCAATGCTATCCAGATAATCCATTTCATCCATAGCCCCCTGTAACTACAAGCCAATCAATTTCCCTCAAACTTCCATTTTCTTGGGACTAACAGTTATCATCCCGGATAGCTATGTCAGTCACCTCCAAGAGACCTCCACAGCAAATCTGAATGATTTTATCCAACAGACACCTAGATTAGTTTTTATGGCAGCCCTGTAGATCTTCCTCCATTCTCTACTTCCCAAGAGGGATTGTGTTACTCTAATGTCTATCTCCAGATGGAATCAGAATAGAAAAACTACATTTTGCTGTTCTATAACCATGAGGTAGTCTTATCTGTTTTAAAACTGATTCACTTGTTTTCCGTCAGTGGCTCTGTGGGATCTACAGAGGTCACACAAGCACAATTTTATTAAAGTCCTTAGCTGCTCTTTCATTCCAGATAGCAACAAAGGCCTCAGATGTACCCAATCCAAGCTTCTTTTAAACCTGTAGAGATTATCAGGTGCCTGAGACAGACAAATTTAACGGGCCTTCCTCCCTGTGCCAAGCAGTGTTTGAGCGGAACTCTAAAATAAATTATCTGACCACCAGAATGAATTGTTGTCATTTCCCAATTCCAGTTCATAGCACTGTGCCCCGAAACAGGTTTACATAAGAAGGGTTTCCTTCACTGACAGGTCCCTTGGTAAGCCTTTCCCAGATATTATTGGATGGTAGTTTTGTTATGTGAATAAACTATGTGTGCGTGTGTGCATGTTGAGTCTGGTCTCTGTTATGTGAATTTTGTTATATGTATACTGTATATAAATGTACAATGACAATGAAGAATTCAATTCAATGTGGGTTGCTGCATTCTGCAAAAGCTGAAGTTTCAACAGGGACTTTAAGGATAGTTCCATGTGGAGTGCACTGTAGTGCTTTAGCTCCAAGATGTCAAGGAATGGGTGACTACAATTCTTAACTCCAACAGGACCAGATAATCTGCATCCTCCAGAATTTTTTGAAACTGCAGGTCTGCCATGTTTTTTTAATAACCTTTCTAAAAATAGAAGGTTGGATACTGGATTAAAATTGTCCACACAGCTGGGTCCAAGCAATGACTTTTTCAGGCAAATAGAATCACCACTTACAGAGAGGCATTTACCTCTAGTTGAATCCAGCTACATATTACCTACCAGGAGCCCCTAACCAGCTAAGAAGAGCATGTATCTTATACAGCAAATTGGTGATATTTCATCCCATGCTGGCAATGATCTCTCCCAGTGACTTCATATGGCTGTTAAATAGTAATGGAGAGAGGAACAAGCTCCAGGACACTATAATGAAATGGACAAGGGCTCCATCTCTTCCCCAACTATCACTGAGTGAAACCAGGAGATTCTCTGAGGAACAGTACCCTCTATTTCCAATCCTTACAGCGGGTTTAGTATACCATAGTCAATGGTGCTGAAGAACATTGAGAAATTCAGCAGGATAACACTCATAACATTTTGCCCCCTCATACTGCTTAAAAACAAACAGAAAATAAAACTATTCTATAATAGTTATCTCTGATTCATAACACTGGATCTAGAACTGACAAATGCAGATTTTTTATTTTAGCAGCCATAAGTTCAACAAGCCTGCTGCATTAAATGTACAGGAATTTGAAAGCACCTCCTCTCCCAAAATAAGTAGAGACATATAACGTACTCCCACTAGCAGAAGTTACCTCTACTCAATTTTTACTATTTTTCATTTGTAAAATAATACTTACTGTTCAACAGAGTCCTCTACTCTCAAAAAGGGGTTTGGAGGATGATGGGATGACTAGCAATAGCACTTAGACTTATATACCGCTTCACAGTGCTTTACAGCCCTTTCTAAGTGGTTTATAGTATCAGCATATTGCTCCCAACAATCTGGGTCCTCATTTTGCCAATCTCGGAAGGATGGAAGGCTGAGACAACCTTGAGCCAGTCAGGATCAAACTCGTGGCAATGAGCAGTGAGTTAGCTTGCAGTACTGCATTCTAACCACTGCGCCACCACCGTTCAGGTGACTGTCATCAATCCTCTTCAATATGGACACAAACCTTATGTCTGTACCAAGTGGCATAGTTACAAAACTTATAAATAACCAAATTCTAAACCATACAGTCATATTTTACATATTAAAAGCCACACTTAATGTGAAGCTAATTGTACAGTTACTCAATATATAAAAATAAAACAGTGTATTGATATTCCCAACAAAGACCTGAAAGCTAATTCTATTTAAGTCATCTTAAATCACATACATTTGGACACCCTAACACAATCACCCTAACCAGGTCACAAATAACCATTTATATAATACAGTGTCCCATATACTTTCTCCAGGAAATATATAGTACATCAGGAATTTTATCCAAATATCTTTATATCATTAGCCTCTTCCCCAGGGAATAGGCTGGCTTGAACCGTTCCGCTAAACAGTGTTTGGTACATAATGTATCCTTGAGCCTTAAAAATTAGTTCTGTCATTGAGAAGCTTGCTTTTTTTATTTACTCTTTTTCTTTTGGTCTTTTTCTTCTCAAGTATTAAGTATATCCCCACAATATGACTGGGTAAAGTTAAATTAACTTTTCCTTGTTGGAGTTCCTAGTTTAATTCTCTTCTTGACCTATTTAACATTATTATAAAAACAGGGCCACAACAGCATGCATTAAATAGTAAAAACGTATGTACAATACACATACTTGTGCTTCTGAGACTGTTCTGCATGACATTGTTTTTCAATATTCAGAGAAAGTAATTGTTCTCTAGAACATGCATTTATTTGTCAATATATTTATATGGAGAATATCCAATTGTTCTGAAAAGGTATGGCTTGATCCAGCTTCACAGTGCAAGTAAGGTGGATTCAGAGGTGGTTTGGGTGTTCACTAAATTTGAAAGCCAGCACATCACAGGAAGATGTCTGTTCAGCTTGCTTTCTAATAGAGTTTTCATCTATAACATCATCAGATTTCAAGGCATATTCAAATAAAGAAAAGCATCCCAGAATAAAATCAGGCCTAGATACACTCCCTCATTCCCTTAGAACACACAGTATAGTATTCTAGTTTTGTAGAATGAACCTGTTTTCCGAAACAAAACTACTTTCCATTTGTGGAACATATTAATTTTATACAAATTTTTCCTTTCAAGAATAATCGAGTGCCAAATATTTTACAAAAACATGTTTTGGTGTCCATAAACAGCTTTTTCTTCACTGAGGAAAAATCAGGTTGTCAGTCTTATCAAGATTGTTCCGGCAATTCACTTTTGAAAAAGCACATGATTTTAACTGGCCCATATTGAAACATTACTATTTCGTTTCAGAATGTATTATTTCACATTACAGCTTAGGAGTTCAAAATCAATGTCTGCTTGGATTCAGAAACACACACATACACACCCATGTCCTTGCAATCACATATGATTTTTTTAATTAATTTCCATTTCAATGCAGTCTGTGTCCTCAACTCTTCATAAAAGCATATGATGGATATGGGTTCTTTTAAAACAGCAACTGAACAACAATGTTAGCCAGTCTACTGTATTTTTGTATGCATGAAAAAAAGGGGAAACAAGGCATGTGTAAGCTGTTCTGTATCCAAGCCATGATGTACAGAGTCTGAAAC